GACATCCTTCATTAAAGTCGCCTGCAGCTGTCTCTCAATGTGGCAGAATGGAAGGTACTGTCCTATTTTCATTCATCAGATGCCATGCAGTGTACAGAAAATCACTCCCCTCTGACTCTGGCTGCTTCATCTGCTGATATCAACATCCTTGCCTGAAAGTTGACCAGATGGCTTATCATTTGGCCCCAGAGCTAAGATCTTTGATGCTAAGCTGGTGTTTTCTAAACTGTTTTTCAGGACACCATCACTTGTGATATGTTCATAGGTTTCTTAATAAGTACTCTTGGATTTAATCAAAGTTTTTTTTTTTTTTTTAAATTTTTGAGACAGGGTGGACTGCAGTGGTGCAATTGTAGCTCACTGCAGCCTCAACCTCCTGAGTTCAGGTGATCTTCCCACCTCAGCCTCCTGAGTAGCTGAGACTACAGGCACGTACACCATGCTCAGCTTTTTTTTCTTTTAAAATTTTTAGTAGAAATGGAGTCTCACTATGTTGCCCAGGCTGTTCTTGAACTCTTGGGCTCAAGTGATCCTCCCACCGTGGCCTCCCAAAATGCTGAGATTACAGGCGTGAGCCATCACACCTGGCTTAATTTTTTTTTTAAATGACAATCCCTCTTAGTTTTTAGTGCCTTCTAATTGTGGACTCGTAAGAAGTGGGTGCAGTCATAGGACCTTAAGAAAGATATGTGTATTTTCTTCTCCAGACACCTCAACACAGGACCTCAAGAAAGATGTATGTGTTGTCACCTCACAGGGCTTCAGAATCTCATGTAGGGAAATGGTGCCATAAACGGCTGAGATAAAATATGTCATTAATGTAAGTAATACTAGAGAAGACACCAACAAAAAGATGTAAAATATGTCCTCTAATATTACTACTGTTCAGGTATTTTTACTGACTTCTTAGCCACAGAGGTCAAGCTAGTCATCACTAAAAAGAATTCTTGATCGCTTTTACTTACCTGAGACTTTATTTGAAAAATTTTTAAGATGTACATTTCATTTCTCAGAGAAGGAAAGAGGCGCATGAGGTCCCCGTACTTAGTGAGAGACTGCTAATTTCTGGGACCTTCCTTTTCCTTTCCCCTTTCCCACCTACTGGTGAAGGCTGGAGGCACAGGTCACTGTCTGTCACCAGGGCAGACCTTGTCACTGCACTCTAACCCAGAGCAATCATAGCTCACTGCAGCCTCGACTTCCTGGGTTCAAGTGATCCTCCCACCTCAGCCTCCTGAGGAGCTGGGATTCCAGGTATGTGCCACTACACCCAGCTAACTTTTTTGATTTTCTCTGACTTAGAGCTGCCCCCAGGGCACCATACAGCAGTTCCCATACACAGGGCTTGCTACCTTGGGGACTGAAGAGGAATGTGGTTGGAGGATTTAGGAATTACTGCAGGAGGTGGAGGCGACCTGAGATCAAAGCACAAATAAACTCAGCATTTTAAAACCGGATACTAGTCTCTGGAAAGTCCATCCCGCTTGCTTCTCTGGTCATTGCTAGTGATGGTGGACCACGCCTGCAACAGGCCACGCTTGCTCAGCAGGCAGGAACTCCTTGTAGGCAGGGCTAGGTCCTATTATTTCTCTATCCTAACATTGAATCTCAACCTGACTGCCCCTCGCCGTGTTGCGTTTGTTGTTGCTGTTTCTGGTGGTTATGCTTAAGCATAAGCCTTGGTTGCTCGAGGCTGCCCTTCATGCCCATGTAAATGGGACTTGACCTGTAGATAAATGTGAGGCAAAGAGACAGTGAACTTTCCAGGCTGGGTTGCCCATAGCGCATGGGGTACCTGGCTCAGAGCACTGCTGAAAATTCAGTTCCCAAAATGAAAAATTAGAAGGCTGCTTTCTTGTGACCAATTCTCAAGCAGACCCACACATTCATAAATCAGCGGCTATACCGCTGCACCTTGTTTTCAGTAAAGGACATCATCTAGGAGGTAAGTAACACTTGCATACCGCTCCCCCACCATCTCCACCATGGGACAAAATCCAGTGATTTTAATTTTGAATGTAAGAAGTATTCCGGGCACAGTGGCTCATGCCTATAATCCCAGAACTTTGGGAGGCACAGGCTGGTGGATCACCTGAGGTCAAGGAGTTCGAGACCAGCCTGGCCAACACGGTGAAACCCTGTCTCTACTAAAAGTACAAAAATTAGCCAGGTATGGTGGCAGGTGCCCATAATCCCAGCTACTTGGGAGGCTGATGCAAGAGAACCCCTTGAACCCAGGAGGCAGAGGTTGCAGTAAGCTGAGATTGCACCATTGCACTCCAGCTTGGGCGACAGAGCGAGACTCCATCTCAAAAAACAAAAAACAACAACTGATCTGTAAACGATACTTTTCTTCACTCAACCCTTATGATCAACAAGCCCGTTTCCTCTGTCCTGTGAACACCTTTGGGCAGGCAGGCACCACGTGCTTCAGGCTTTAAAAAGTGTCACCAGGTCCTCAAATTCATTCAAATGATCTCAAATTGCCCAATCCTAAGCTGGCTCCAAAGAGCTATTTTGCATTTACTTCTGACATATGGCAGCTTCCTCTTGACTCAGCCCCGACATTCATCACAATTTCCTTTTGTAGGAAGGTACTGTGTGGTGAAGGTACTGTGTGGTGAAGGTATTGTGTGTGGCGAAGATTCTGTGTGAAGGTATTGTGTAGTGAAGGTACTGTGTGTGTGAAGGTACTGTGTGTGGTGAAGGTACTGTGTGTCGTGAAGGTAATGTGTGTGTGGTGAATGTATTGTGCGTGGTGAAGGTATTGGGCATGGTGAAGGTACTGTGTGTGTGAAGGTACTGTGTGTGTGAAGGTACTGTGTGTGGTGAAGGTACTGTGTGTCGTGAAGGTAATGCGTGTGTGGTGAATGTATTGTGCGTGGTGAAGGTATTGGGCATGGTGAAGGTACTGTGTGTGTGAAGGTACTGTGTGTGTGAAGGTACTGTGTGGTGAAGGTGTTGTGTATGTGGTGAAGGTATTGTGTGTGTGGTGAAGGTATTGTGTGTGTGTGGTGAAGGTATTGTGTGTGTGTGTGAAGGTAATGTGTGTATGGTGAAGGTACTGTGTGGTGAAGGTATTGTGTGTGAAGGAATTGTGTGGTGAAGGTATTGTGTGTGTGTGTGTGTGTGTGTGTGATGGAATTGTGTGGTGAAGGTATTGGGTGTGAAGGTATTGTGCATGTGGTGAAGGTATTATGTGTGTGGTGAAGGTATTGTGTATGTGGTAAAGGTATTGTGTGTGTGTGAAGGTATTGTGTGTGTGAATGTATTATGTGTGTGGTGAAGGTATTGTGTGTGTGGTAAAGGTATTGTGTGTGTGTGAAGGTATTGTGTGGTGAAGGTATTGTGCGTGTGGTGAAGGTATTGTGTGTGTGGTGAAGGTATTGCGTGTGTGTGTGTGTGTGAAGGTATGTGGTGAAGTTGTGTGTGTGTGTGAAGGTATTGTGTGGTGAAGGTATTGTGTGTGTGGTATTTTGTGTGTGTGTGTGTGTGTGTGTGTGTGTGTGTGTGTGAAGGAATTGTGTGGTGGTATTTTGATGATCAAGGCACTGCCTGAAGCATTAATATTAGTTTAGGGGTTCTCTTTCTCCTTTCTCTTTCTCGCATCCCTCCCCATTTCCTTTCTGCCTCATTCTTCTTTTTTCCTCCAAACTCAAATAAGGAAATAATCTAGTCTTCAGGCTGATCATATGCTTGAGTGACCAGGCATCTCAGTTGAATGTCGCTGACATAATGTAAATCAGCTTCTCAGCTCTGTGCTAAAGCCCAGCTTTTAGACATTTTCCAACTGCCTGTGGACTGATACTTCTGTGGAACACAATGATGAACCACTACAAAAATAAGATGTAAAATGCAAGCATAAATTTTTGGATTTAAACAAAATTCCTCTGTCAGATTGATATAAAAATTTCTAAACACTCTCAATTTTTGTTTTTATCCAATTGTGAATCTTGCCTGTCCATAGACCATATTTTGAGTAGCATGGATACAGATTGTTACCTTACATGGAGATGTTTCATATTTATGTTTCAGCCCCTTTTCTTTGGGAGAACACAGCATTTCTGGCCACTTCTCTGCTCATCTTAGTTTGTCTAAACACATATCTAAGCTCTACTGATCTCTCCATGAGCACAGCACGTCAGCTTGGTGGAGCGCTTCCTCCAGTACACACTAGCTTACAACTCTTCAGCTAATGGGCACCAATTTTACTCTTTCTCTTTGGAGAGACTTTGAACTTGTATTCTCTTCCCTAGGTCTCATTTACCACTCATACATGTGCCCCTACCTGCCCACTTGTCCACTTGCCCTCTGAGGTACCTGGTTGGGCTAAGTGCATATATAAAAAGTGTATGTGTTATATATATTACATATAACTACATATATATATGATATGATTTAGCAGTATAACATATATATGTAGTTATTTAGCCCACCCAAATCTCGTCTTGAATTAAAACTCCCATAATCCCTATCTGTCATGGGAGGGACCTGGTGGGAGGTAATTGAGTAATGGGGGCAGGTTTTTCCTATGCTGTTCTCATGATAGTAAGTCTCAGAGATCTGATGGTTTATTAATACAAAGGGCAGTTCCCCTGCACAAGCTCTCTTGCCTGCTGCCACGTAAGATGTGCCTTTGTTCCTCCTTTGCCTTTCATCAGGATTGTGAGTCCTCCCGGGCCATGCAGAACTGTGAGTCTACTAAACCTCTTTTTCTTTATAAATTACCCAGTCTTGGGTATGTCTTTATCAGCAGTGTGAGAACAGACTAATAAAATACATAATTATGTATAATTATATATAGGCACTTGGAAACTGTAGACATTAAACATAATGTGGCATACATTGTATATAAAATTATATATCGTAGAATTACATAAATATATTTATGTAGACAATTATATAATCACCTCTATATAATATATAAATTCCCAAACTGGTTATATGTACTATATATAAAACTATGTAATTAGGGAGATGCATAGACTTGCCTTACTCACCAGTGTCATTGGGGTACTTGTCTCCCCTGGTACACGTCTTCCCATCATCTTCCTGGATGTAGCCTTCCCGGCACTCGCAGCGGTAGCTGCCCAAGGTATTGATGCAGATGTGGGCACACAGTGTCCCATTGCTGTTGGCACACTCATCAATATCTGGTTTGAACCAAATGCAGAGAACATTTCTGAGGATTCACTTCTAATACAACAGATGACATGGGGCTTGGCTTCTCTCTAAATGACAACAAAGGACACTCGGGTGGACCTTGGTCAGAGAAGTATGGAATGAGATAGGGAGCTAGAAACATGGGTCATCCACAAAAAGAGCACTTTTGGCCAAGTGACCATGGTTACAGGCTGAGCAGCGATGGGGCTCCTGGCTGTGGCTCTGCCACTCCCAAGTCATATGGCTCAGACTGCCAGCCTTCAGAGATCTCACTCGCAGAAGAATGAGAGTGAAGCGTCAACATTTCATAGGACTACTTAGACATGAAAATGAGATCACCGATGGCAGCACTCACTTAAAGAAGCAAACATTATAGAGACGATTTTTTGAAAGCACCCTACTGTGCTGAGGATTTTTAAGTTTCTCTTTATGGTGTAGGTTCCACACAGCATGATGGTGACCCACAGGTCACTTAGGAATGGCTCCTTCCCAGTTAAAAGCCATGATGGCACCTGAGAAAAGTTCCTTCTAATAAAAGAGAACAGTCATGAAGGGTTTAATGGAAAGAGTCTTCCCCAGGAAATTTCTGCCCCAGACAGAGTCCTCGTGAGCTGTGGAAATGAGCCATGGGACCATCAAACAAGTCCCCATGAAGAGCCCATGCTAACTGTGCACATCATGGAATTGTTCCGTGCTGCATGGGTGGAAACAAAAACATTTCCCACCATGAGGAGAGTGACAGGCCCAATTCTATTTCCTGTTCACTGGTTGAAGACAGTGGGTAGCAGTGGGTGGGAGCCTTGGTACGCAGCCCCAGACTGTGCACATGTGCCGGGCAGACACAGGCTGGCCCTGAACTTGAGGATGGCAATCACTTCCCAGCCACTCCCTGCACAGGCTTCCAGGGACCCGGGCCCTGTGTGTGCTGAGGGAGGGTGGTCATCTGGACGCTGTGCTGGCAGTACCGAGTATGTCATCTGTAGACCCGATGTTGCAGCTGCATCCTCCTCTGCAATTCCTCAGGCTCACTGCCTTTCCCCAGGTGTCCCTGCCCTAAACCTACATGTGATGCTGCCTGTACCGCCTGGAGAGAAAGAGATGAGGTCGAAAGCAAAGACTGAAATAGAACTCCTAGCAGAAAGCCAGTTCTGCTGGTCCCCAAACCCCCAAACAAAAAGAACAGGGGGCTGGGTGTGGTGGCACATACCTGCAATCCCAGTGCTTTGTGGAGCCAAGACAGGAGGATCCCTTGAGCCCAGGAGTTTGAGTCCAGCCTGGGCAACATAGTAAAATCCCATCTCTAAGAACAACGAACAAAACCAGCTGGGTGTAGTGGTGCGTGCCTGTAGCCCCAGCTACTTAGGAGGCTCAGGTGGGAGGATCACATGAGCATGGCAGGTCGAGGCTGCAGTGAGCCATGATCACGCCACTGCACTCCAGTCTGGGCAACAGAGCGAGACCCTGTCTCAAACATAAATAAAAAAAAACAAAGAAAGAAAGAATAGGTACCACAGATGCTGTAAACTGAAGTAAGAGTCTTGTGCCTGGGACCTGAGCCTTTGGAAAGGCCTGTGCCTCTCCCTGCAGGAGAGGCCAGAGATCCCTGCTCCATTCACTTGAGAGTCATGATCCCATGCTCTGGCAATGTGGGGCACCATTCCCAAATGCTGATAAGGAGAAACCAGAGGAACTACAATTAAAACTTCTCATAAATGGTGCTCCCGAGAACCCCTGCTAGGGTAGAGAAAGAGGGGTCTCATGACAGCTGGTTTATCTTCCGCTAGGGTCTACCTAGCAGTCTCTGCAGTACATCCTTCATCCGATTCTTAAATCTCACCATGCCTATGAATCATTAGAGGTGTTTGTGTAGATACTCATGTCTGGACCCACTCTCAAGGGTTATGATTCACTAGGTGTGGAGAAAAGGCCAGGAATCGTTTATTTTCCCTCTAAACAAGGACCCCAAATGTTTCTCAGGTTAGCCATGAACTGACCACACTTTGAGACACATGGTTCCAGAGGGCAATGAGCCATACATCTGCCTTAGAAGCTCAAAGAACGCACGGCTGGGACAGCCAGTTTGTGAGGGTGACAGCGAACAGGCCGGTGCAGACTCGGCTCGGCTGCAGCCCAGGTGGCTGGCATCAGCTCCCGCCGACTCCCCCCCAACCTGTCTGCCATATGGCTACTTCCTTTTTCCACCAATCATCTTCTAAGAGAATGTTTATTCTTGTTCTGTCTGTGCTTTTAGGTTTCTGACTAGTTATATTCTGTTTTACATGATTCTGGTTTATATTTGGGCATGTTCCCCTCTGCTCTTATGTCTCACTGCCAGTTAGGATCTCACGGGTGCCAAATCCCGCAAGAATTTCTTGGGCCTAGCTGGTTTTAGTAATAGTGATGAAAGGCAGTGAGCCATCCCCAGGATAATATCAAACACAACTCCATCCAACAAGTACGAGAACTTAAGGGTCCAACCAAGGACAGAATATCTGAACAAGGCACATCCTTGGAAGCCAGAAACAAAGCACATTCCCAACACACCCAGGCAGTACGGTTTCTCCCGCTTCCGATGTCTCTCCCGGTCATATCGGTATCCCGGATAACAGGTACACAGCACGCGGCCAAAGTTGTCTGTGCACTGCTGTTCGCAGGGAGCCTCAGCACAGACGTCATAATCTGAAAAAGGAAAGTGAGAGCTCACATCAACCACCGGAGGAGGCAGGGTAACCTGGCTCTGGCCTGGAAAGGACTTTCTGGACTGCGCTCTGCTCAAGGGCACGTGTGAAGCATGGACCGGTACGCTTAGAGGGACAGGAACTCTTTTGGGCTGTGGGCACCTTCTAAGAGTACTGCAATGGGTAACTTTTCAAAAAACATATAAATCTTTTAATAAAAAATAACTACATTTTTCAGAAAAGGCTATTTAGGAAGAAGAATGGCATGTTGTACATTTTTAAAAAAATGTATTATACTTTCAGTTCTGGGGTACGTGTGCCGAACGTTCAGGTTTGTTACACAGGTATACATGTGCCATGACGGTGTTTGCTGCATCCATCACCCTGTCAGCTACATTAGGTATTTCTCCTAATGCCATCCCTCCCAACCCCCTTCACCCCCTGCTATCCTTCCCCTAGCCTCCCCACCCCCCTGACAGGCCCCAGTGTGTGATGTTTCCCTCCCTGTGTCCATATGTTCTCACTGTTCAACACCCACTTACGAGTGAGAACACACAGTGTTTGGTTTTCTGTTCCGGTGTCAGTTTGCTGATGATGGTTTCTAGCTTCAACCATGTCCCTGCAAAGGACATGAACTCATCCTTGTTAACGGCTGTGTAGTATTCCATGGTGTTTATGTACCACATTTTCTTTATCCAGTCTATCACTGATGGGCATTTGGGTTGGTTCCAAGTCCTCGCTATGCAGTGGGTAACTTACATGGCGTAACATCACTCACGATTCTTCCCCTAGGTCACCTCATTATCCTTTGGTCTTTGTCACTATCCAGAGAGAAAAGACTCTTAAGAGGGCCAGCCTCTGCAGTTCCCCTCAGGGATGGGGGTGTGTTTTATCTTGCTCACCAGCTGCTGCAGAGACAGGGGACTCCTCCCAGCAGAATACTGAAGAACGGCCAGCTGGGGTCACAGGTGATGTTATCATATGGGGGGAAGGTGTGGAAATAAACCAGCCTCAGAGAGGTATGAACGGGGCTTTGTGTCTGTGTCTGGTCTTAGGCTGCTCATACAGACATACCTGAGACTGGGTAATTTAATTGAATCACAGTTCCACATAGCTGGGGAGACCTCACATCACAGCTGAAGGTGAATGAGGAGCGAAGCCACTTCGTCCATGGCAGCAGGCAAGAGACTGTGTGCCGAGGAACTCCCCCTGAGAACCATCAGATCTCCTGACCCTTATTCACTATCATGAGAAAACCACGGGAAAGACCCGTCCAATGAATCTATTACCTCCCACTGGGCCCCTCCCACGACACATAGGAATGATGGGAGCTACAATTTAAGGTGGGATTTGGTGGGGACATAGCTTTGTAATAGAAATGTACATGAGTTATAAGAGAGCTGATGCTTATGTGCGTATTATGTATTCTGTATAAGTGTGCATCCTGGAGGGTGGATATCTCATGCTGAGAAGGGGTTGGGCGAGTCCCAGTGGCTAGTGGTCTCTTTCCAGCCTTCAGTCTGCGCAAACTGGGGTGGATGCACTGCTTCTCATAAAGAACTAGGGCATCTGCTCCTCTCAGTTCCTATGAACTGATATTTAATGAGGCTCTGAAGGGACTTTGGCTCTAATTCAGTAGCTCAGGCTCAACAGTGACTCCCAGACCGGAGCCAGCACCTCATTAATCCTTGCGCTATCTCCTCCAGGTGCTGACAGATAAACTGTCCTTGGACACAGAGAGAGTCTGGCTTTGCTCCACCACATATGAAGGTGAACAGGTAGGCTGTCAGCTCCCAATGCAGGCAAGGTTTGTGTGACAAGGGCTGTGCCATTCTCACAATAACCTGGAAAGCTGCTCTTGTTAAATATTCCTCCCCTCGATCGTGAAACGACGCCTGCTTTGCCTGTGTGGTGTTCTGACTAACCCTGCCAGCTGTCTCTGGATACTCATGCTTCCTCCACTTGGCATTATCTTAGGCAGCCAAGATTCTGTGCTCTTTTTGTTCCAGAGCATGATCCTGGCATGACTGGCTGTGAGTTTCCCTGTCAGCTGTTGCCACCACTGAGCAGCATCTGGGAAGAGGAAGAAGAAAGTAGAAAGGCTGTCAAAGTGTGTTGATCATGGGGCCCTATAAGGCTTGTTCTGAAAAACAGTTCCCTGTCTCTCCCACCTTTCCTGAACCACTTCCAACTCTTCTAGATGACTACACTAATGCATCTCTAAAGAGCTCACTTGCATCGCTTCCGTCTTATTTTTATTTTAAATCCTCTCTATTGGCTTCAGTAACAGAAGAGATGCATTTAACTGTTTCATGGCCTCCCGTCTCCAGCAATCACACCTGTAATTTCCTATTCCCTCCTCTGGCCCATACTTGGGTGGAGTCATGAAACTTGGGTGTGATAATCTTAGTATTTGTACCATCATGACAACATAAAAGCTATTCTTTGCTGAGCCTGGAAGTATGCTCGAATTACTTACACTTTCTTGAAGACCCTTTTGTCTTCTCTGGAATTAAAAGAATTATCTTGTATATTTTTGGGGTGCCAGTTGCTGAGCTTTCTCTCTTAGCTTCCAACACCCACCTTCCTCTTCCATGGGCTACTTTGTGACGTGGGTTCTGGAGACCACATTCTTCCTTTGTCAATTGCCAGTCTCTTAGTTTCTGCCAGTGACACGCATCTAAACACAGACAGAAACTGACAGGGAGGCTGGAATAGGAAGAAGGGATTATCTGCCTTTTTCTGTTTTGCCTCCTGGGGTGAAAGCCTAATATCAGCCTTTCTCTTCCATCCCACTGACAGATTGTTTCAACAGCAGCTGCAAGCCGGGCATGGTGGCCTGTGCCTGTAGTCTCAGCTGCTCCAGAGGTTGAGGTGGAAAGCTTGCTTGAGGCCAGGAGTTCAAGATCAGCCTAGGCAACATAGTGAGACCCTGTCTCTACCAAAAAGAAAGCAGGAACAGCAAAATCCAGCTTGTATTTTTTCTAACACTTGCAGAATTGGCCTCACTGTATCCCATTTCAGAAACGCCAGCACCAGCCAGCCATCTGGTACCTCCTTCTCAAAGGTCTGGGTCCTGATCCACTAGTAACTTCCTCTGAGTTCCAAGAAACAGGGCTTGCTCGTCAGCACCTCTTCCTCAGAGGTCTGGGTCCTCCAAACTTCTAAGTTTTCACTGGGCCAATATCTTCTTTCTGTTTCCCCAGCCTACAGGTTCCTGCAGTTGTTACCTCCATACTTAGTATTCCTTCTGCATTTTTGCTTCTCAATTTCTAGTTAGCAATTCTTCATATTAACTGCTTTCTGTTAAATAAGTGGTGAAGGCTCTGTTTCTGGACAACTTCAATCTAGAACTCTGTAGGTCTGCTGCACAGCCGCCTCTCAGTCTTGAACTCAAGTAATCCTCTTGTCTCGGCCTCCCATAGTGCTGGGATTACCAGCACTGTGCCTGGCCTACAGCTGCCTCCAGGAACGTGCATTCACCATGAACCTAGGGATGCCCATCACCTCCCTCTCTCTTGTGTTGGATTCCTGTTTCCTGGATCCCACGGGTATTAGTCTGTGCTCATGCTGCTAATAAAGACATACCGGAGACTGGGAAATTTATAAGGGAAAGAGGTTTAACCGATTCATAGTTCCACATGCTGGGGAGGCCTTAAATCAAGTAAGAAGACAAATGGGCCAAGTCACACCTTACATGGTGGCAGCCAAGAGAGAGTGTACAGGGGAACTCTCATTTATGAAACCATCAGATCTTATAAGACGTATTCACTACCATGACAACAGCATGGAGGAATCTGCCCCATCATTCAGTTATCTCCACCTGGCCCTGCCCTTGACCTGTGGGGATTACAATTCGATGTGAGATTTGGGCGGGGGGACACAGCCAAACCGTATATCCATGGTCTTTCCCCCTTCCACTTAACTCCTTTATTTTAGTGGAGAATATTCTCCATTGGCTTCTTGAAAAATGTGATAAAAGAGGTAAAGTTTTGAGATTACGTATGTCTAAAATATCTTTTATCAGCCCTTATGATTACTACTGATAGTTTGCATGTATGATTCTAGGTTGGAAACTTTGCCTCAGAATTTTGAAGGGATGGTTCCATTGTCTTCCAGCTTTCAATGCTGCTGTGGGGAAGTCCTATGAGATTCAGATTCTTGAGCTTTTGTATGAAGCCTATTTTTTTCCTCTCTAAACATTTTTAGGATTTATATGGTACCACTTCAATCTTTGGTAAACCCTTTTTATCTGGAAATTAATATTCTTAATTCTGAAGACTTTTTTTTTTAAATTTTATCTCTAAGAACTTACTCGTTCCACCACTTACCTTCCAACCCTCCCACTATTTCCCCCCATACCAACGACTCACCTTCCAACTCTCCCACTATTTCCCCCACTACTCACCTTCCAACCCTCCCACTATTTCCTCCCCCAACTACTAGTCTGCAGTGTCTTGTTCGTATGTTTATGTCCATGTGTGCACAGTGTTTAGCTCCCACTTATAAATGAGAACATGTGGTATTTGGTTTTCTCTTCCTGTGTTAGATTACTTAGGATTATAGCCTCCAGCTCCAACCATGTTTTTGCCAAGGATATGATTCCATTCCTTTTTTTATAACTGTGTAGTATTCCATGGTGTATACGTACCACATTTTCTTCATCCAATCCACTACTATGGGCACCTGTGTTGATTCCATGTCTTTGCTATTGTGAGTAGAATGTTGATGAACACAGGAGTACAGGTGTCTTTTTGGTGTAATGATCTATTTTCCTTTGAATATATTCCATTGCTGGGTCAAATGGTAGTTTCCTTCTAATGTCTGATGATCCTTAGATGTCTGCTCTAGTTTATTCATGGTGTATTTAAAACACACTAGTAGGAGAAGCTCTTTGCATATGGTAGATTTTATAACATCTGGATATCACTGTAAGTGATCTGGCTGGTGCATTCCAAGTTCAGTTTCTTAAGACCTTTTCCTTGGGTTGTCTAGAATGCC